GAGGAAAGGGCAACCCACTCCAGTAATCTTGCTTGGAGAATCCCATGAACAGAGGAGCCTGGTGGGCTGTAGTTATGGGGTTGCAAAGAGTCGGATATGATTGAGCGACTGAGGATGCACGTAGTACAGGTGATCAAAGACCTGAGAGACCCCCTTCCTGCCGGTGGTGTTAGGTGCGAGGAAGGAGACTCACCAAGCTCAGAGCATCACACGGTGGGGGACACAGCGCCCACCCTGAGTGAGCTCCCAGTCGGAGTGGGGAGACAGAATGCTTACCCTAGGAAGCGTCCACTCTGATGGGGAAGATGAAGCCCCTTTCTCTGGGAACCTGGGCCACACATACCCTGGAGGAAATCACTTGAGAGTGTTGAAGAGCAGGGACCAGTGAGGGTGAATTAATCCAGGAGCAACCAGCCTCGCAGGGCATGGAGAGTCAAGTGGGCAGGTGGGGCAGGGCCCGGGGGCCTGGGAGGCTGGGGTCTTGAGGATGAGCAGTCTGGAGCCCCTTGGGGGTTTTTGAGTTGGTTCCTGCAGGCCCTCAGGTCCCTTTCAGCCTTCAGGACAAAGCGGGGAGGGGATGAGCCCCAGGCTTGAAAGGGGACCCCCCGACCTGCTGCCTTCTCATCCTCCCCCCTAGCTACCTCAGGCCAACGAGGGGAGGGGTGGATGGGGAGGGAAAGGGGGGGCAGAGGGGAGAAGCTGGTCCTTTCCCTCCCGTGCCCCCCTCTGGCTCCCCTTCCTGGACCTCCTCCCCATCCATTCCCGCTGGTTCGGGGCCTCTCTTGCCCTCTCCTCCTGCTCTGGGTGCTGAGGCCTCTGGGCCCTTGCTGGGACGGGGCCCTGGACAGCTGATGTGGCTTTGCCTGGACAGGCGTGGTATCCCGGGTGGCTGAGTCCCAACTTGGGTCCACCCTGGGAGCATGTTTCCTGGAAACCAATCATGGGGGAAGGGAGCCCCTGGGAGCCCCTGGTGTGTGTGGGGGCACTGGAGGAACCCCCTGCCTCTGACTCTCCTAATTGGATGCCTCCTGAGGGCCCAGATTGTTCGCATCTCCCATGGCTGCTGGGGAGGAAGAGGGTGGGGCCTTCTTTAGAGCCAGACACAAATCATTAGTGGGTGGATCTGGGCAGGGCGGCCCTGGGGCCTCAGGAGAGAGGCTGAGGAAACAGACTAGGAGAAGAGGATTCCACCTGCGGGCAAGCACAGCGGGCGAGGGTGCCCTTCCTGGCCAGGGGTGGGGGTGCTCGGGGTGAGGTGAGGGGTAGGGCGTCCTTGGTGACCCTCTGTAGCCCATCCTGGGCGAGGTCCCTGCAGCTGAGAGGGGCTCAGTGTCTGTGAGGAAACAAGCTGACAGGCCCTGGTGGCCAGGCTCTGGGGGTAGGTCAAGGTCTTTGAGAACCCTCAAGGTTTTGGGGTGTTCTCTTCATCAGTCAAGCCAAGGTCCCAGTTGGGAGCCCAGTCCCCCGATCCTGGGCCTCTCACTTCCCCAACATCACCTGATATGGACTCTTTCCTTGGAGGGAGGGTAGATAGCCCTAATAGTCCCTTCCTGGGTCCCTGTCCTCCACCCTAGTCATGGTCCAGGGTCCTCGTTCCTAACAACGAACACTTAGAGAGCACCTGCTGCATACCTGCTGTGTCCTGGGTTCTGGGTGGGGTGGGCACTGCCCTTGGAGGGTGACAGTTAATGCTTGGGGGCCTGCAGGAGCCAAGGTCAGTTGGGCTGATGTGGCAAGATGTTTGTCAACATCAACATGCATCTATTTTTTAATAAAAATATATGTATTTTTAAAATTTATTTTTGTCTGTGCTGGGTCTTCATTGCCGCGCTCAGGTTTTCTCTGGTTGTGGCGAGTGGGTAACTACTCCCTAGTTACGGTCCGTGGGCTTCTCATTGCGGTGGCTTCTCTTGTTGCAGAGCACAGGCTCTAGAGCTCGACCTCAGTGGTTGTGTCGTGCTGGCTTCGTTGCCCCATGGCATAGAGTTGGATACAACTTAGCAACTGAACAACGGCAACAATGTGGGATCTTAGTTCCCAGACCAGGGATCGAGCGTTGGCAGGTGGACCACTGGACCATCAGTGAAGTCCTGATATGCATCTGTTGAGCATCAACTGCATATGGGGCCCCCAGATCACCTTGCACCTGCCATCAACACCATAGGGTGGGTGTAGTCCCAGGGGCCCTCCCTGCATACCCTAGTCCTGTTCAAGTCTGAGACAGGCCTGTTCTACTCATGCTGAGAACGCACTGGCTCTTCAGCAACCTCTGGAGAGGAGACCCAGGGCCTGTAGGTTTGGTCAAGCCCGGGGCTGGCGTGGGGACCCTGGGGGGATTCAGCTGTCTCCCCGGGGTCTCTTCCTCCTGTCCCCTCCCTGCTGTGCTGGACTCCCAGCGGCCTCTGGGGCTGGATTGCCTCCTCCTTTTCCCGACCTCTTCCTCCTCTGGGCCAAGCTGCTGACAGCTGCAGGGGGTGTGGGCCTGGCGCTGCCCCTCCGGCTGCCAGAGGCCTCTCCCTGCTGGGGGTGGAGGACAGGCCTGGGCAGGAGGAGTCTCGGCCGAGAGGACCTCGGCTCCTGCCAGACCTCCCTTCCTTCCCTGGCACAGAGAGTGGGCACTGCTCGGGCCCTGGCTTCAGGCCCGGCTGCCCTGCCTACTGCCTGCTGGCTGCTCAGAAACCCTGGGCCTTGGCTTCCTCACGGCATTGTTGGGGAGATCCGGCAAGGGCTGTCTGGGGCTGTGAAGGAAGCATGTCTGGGTCTTCTTAGGCCTTCCAAGGATGGCCACACTCTCCAGAGAGCCAGGGAGGCCTTCCTGGGGTCTGTCTCCGCCCCTCCACCTGGGGAGAGGGGCTGAGGTGGGCCTGTCCTTCTGCAAGTGAGGCCTTTCTGGGCTGAGGTGGGCACAGAAGTGGAGGGGGGCTCCAGAGGTGGCAGAGTCTCCAAAGGCCATAGGCACAGGGCCTGGGCATCACTGTTGTGGGGAAACCTAGGCCCTGCCCTTGGCGCACAGCCTGATGTCAGCAGGGGAAAGGGTAGAGTAACGGGGTGATGGTGGGGCTTGGTGATTTTCGAGACGAGTTTAGGAAACTCTCTGTCCCTTCAAACTGGGCTTCAAGACGGACGTCTGGGTACTTTGGAGGTGGGATGCAGGCTCTGGAGAGGCAGGGCGTGGGTGGTGGGTGCCTTGTGGCCTGGCCCCCTCTCCAGGCTTCTGGCTCTGCTTCATATTCACTTCTTTGAACTGAGGGAGGCCTGTCTGGACAGAGGAGGGCAGTCAGCTGCTGGTGCGGGGGTTGGGGGTGGTTCCTGGAGGGTGGCTCCAGCGAGGAGGGGAAGCTCTTTCTCTGTGGGGGTGAGTGGCTGGTGCAAGGGTGGCCTCTGAGCCACTCAGGTGACCCCAGGTTCTGTTTGTTCCCTCCCCCAGACTGTCCTGGAGTAGCAGGAAGTCCTCCCAGGTATTGTGGAAGAGCCCTGGTATTCTGACCTTGCCCTCTAATCTTGACCTTGAGACCCTGCTCCCTACTCCCAGGAACCTTCAGACTTTACAGTTGGGGTGGGAGCAGAATAAACTCTGGTTGTCCCCTCTCGGTAGCCCGTGCAGTCCCCACTCTCCAACAAGGAGACACCCTTGCGTGCGAGGCCACCCACTTTCTAGGCAGGAAGTCCTTCCAGCAGTCTGACCTCAGCATACCAGCTCTGATCTGCATGAAACCCGGACTCCCTCCCTGTCCCCATGTGTGTGGGCCCAGAGCCCAGGCCACCCACGTGCCTCCCTCCACCCCTGGAAGCTTCTCATTCAGACAGGCCCCGTGCAGACACAGACGCCAGGGTCCTGGCAGTGCCTAAATCATTAGCACCGCCGAGATTAGGCCGTTAATCTCCAGGCTGGGAGCGGGCGGGTGCCAGTCGCTAGGATGTGGGCTTGTGTTTCTTCCTTGCAGGGGCCGCCCTTCTCCAGGGTGCGGCTGCCTGGCAGGTCCTACCTTTCCTACGCTCAGCACCTCCTCTGGGGGCCCTTGGGGGGGCATCTCCGTAGGTACTGGTAGGGTGAGCAGGGGCGGTCACCCTAACCAACTCTCGGATTCCCTCTCTTCCTCGGCACTCGATTGACTCATTCCGGCAGAGACCCTGGGAGGCAGGAGTTACCCCATTTTGCAAATGAGGCAACCGAGGCAGTGAACTGACTTCCTAAAAGGCTTGGATCCAGGGTTCCCTCAGGTCAGCAGCTGTGACTGTTCCTCTCAGATAGGGCAACCCCTGGCCAGGAACTGGGTCTCCCGCATAGGCTGGAAGTAATCCCAGGAGAGCTGGGGGCTCCCCTAGGTCAGAGGCTGACTCGCTCCCCCTGTAAGGAGTGGGGGAGGGTGTCCCCCTGGATCTCTCCACCCTCTCCCTGGAATCCAAGAATGCTGGGTGGGGGGCCAGAGCAGCCCTAGGCTCCGGGCCTGTGGAGCCTTGTCCCAGGCCCTTTCTGGCTCCCAGGGTTGGGTTCTCCGGACTCCCCCAAGAATGAGCTCAGCCGCCTAATTGCGGTTGAGGATGCAGGATCACCCTACCCCCAGGGCTGCGGCTCCAACACCACCTTTGTTTCTAATAGACAATGGCGGCTAAGAGGCCATCGTGCCCAGGCCAGGCTTGGGCAGGGGAGGGGGCCTGGGGACGCACTCAGGGTGTCCAGCTTGAGCCCCAGGCCCTAGGCGGCTTGTACAGAAGCAAATTACACAGCTGGGGTTTTGGCTCCAACTTCAAGGGCCAGGGGACCAGCCCCCCGTTAGCCTGGTTATAAAGGGCTGCCCGGGGTCTCTGTCCAGACCAGACCCTGTGCTTGACTTGTGGACGTCATGGCCGCCACCACCAGCAGCATCCGCCAGTTTTCTACCTCCGGCTCTGTCAAGGGCCTGTGTATCCCCAGCGGGGGTTTCTCTCGGATGTCTTCCATCCGTGTTGGGGGTGCTTGCCGGGCCCCCAGCCTCCTGGGAGTCGGCAGCTCCGGCAATATGTCCATGTCCTCGTCCCGCTTCTCCATGGGCTTGGGGGGCGGCTATGGTGGGGGCTACACCTGCAACCTGGGTGGGGGCTTTGGCTCCAGCTTTGGCATGGCTGACAACTTGCTGGGAGGCAGTGAGAAGGAGACCATGCAGAACCTCAACGACCGCCTGGCCTCCTACCTGGACAAGGTGCGCGCCCTGGAGGAGGCCAATGCTGACCTGGAGGTGAAGATCCACGACTGGTACAAGAAGCAGGGACCCGGGCCCGCCCGAGACTACAGTCACTACTTCAAGACCATCGAGGAGCTTCGGAGCAAGGTGGGCACTCCCTGCCCTCTGTCCTCAGTATCTACTTCCGACTCATGTATCCTAACTTTGGACCTTTGCCAACATCTCTCCTCCAGCCTAGGTTTCCATCATTTATCCATTCGTTCACTCATTCTCTCACTTGCCCTGGAACCCAGATCTGGTCCCCAGGCCTGGAGGGCATCCCACGAAGGGAGGCTGTTTGGAGTTCCTTCTTCCTGGGGGAGGGTATTTGGTGTGGGTGATGGAAGCATGGTCAGGGAAGTCTTCAAAACCTTGAGGGCAGCAGAAGACATTCCAGGTATAGAGATCAGTGTGGACAAAGGCATAGAAGTGGGAACGAGTTTGGTGTGGTTGCTGGGAGATGAGGCTGGAAGTCTCCTTCTCACTATTCCATTCCCCTCTGAGTTTGCTTCCCTGCTACCTGCCTCACCTCCTCCAGGCAGTCCTCCTGGATGGATGGCACTTGCCTTTTGTCCTCAGATCTTGGGGTCCTTTCTGTACTTTGAGATTCAGTCTATACTGTGTTCATTGTGGTGATTTCACTGAGTTTGACATATTCTCCCAGCTGTTTTCGTTGTGGGTCTTCCTCATTCCTTCCACGATGTTCATGCCGGGGTTCCCTAAGGGCAGATGCTGTCTCTCCTTGCAGAGTTCTCGGAGCGGGGCGGGGCGGTCCCTGAGAAAAGGAGCTGTGTCTTCCTACTTAGACTGGAAGCTCTCAAGGAGAGAAATTTCTCTCACTTAGTCTGATGGAAGAGGCAGCACACACACTCTGATCTGATCTCTCTGAACTCATGACCTTGGCATTCTGTAAATGTCGCACCTGGGTCTTTTGCACAAACCTTCTCGCTGGAAGGACCTAAAGGGCTGCAGTTTCCAGAGGCAGGAGAGAGGTCAAAGAGGTTTAAGAGCCAGGCTTTGGGAGAGCTAGGCTGGGGGCTGGCTGGCCTGGGCTCAGCCCGCTCTGTTTCCTGGTGGAGAACCAGGCCTGTGGCCCTGTGAGGGGCTTTGCCTGCTCCTGCCAGGGACCCAGGCCAGGAAGGGAACCCCTGCAGTTGCCCCCTGGAAGCCGCACCGATGGGAGTGCCAGGTCAGATACCAGCCTTGGTCTGGGCAGCGGGGAACCCAGGGGAGCCCTGGTGAGTCAGTGTTCCCGAGCTCTGGGGTCAGCCAGCTCCTCACCGCCAGACCCCAGCGCGCCGCGCACCAGGCCGCTGAGTCACTGCCCCTCGGCGGTTTTCACCACCACCGCCTCGCTGGGCCCCATCAGCCTCCAGACCGGGAGGTGGGAGGTGGGGCAGGTCTGCAGGCTGCAGATGGGCCCACTGAGGCCCTGGGGCCAGTTCAAACTGGCTCTTGGGTTCAGTCTGGAAACGGAGCCTGACCCAGGGAGTCTTTACAGAACTTAGGGCCTCGAGTGGGCTCTGAGGTCCAGGCTGAGTTTCCTGGGGCTGCCCCCTCTTAGAGCTTGTACATGTCAACCCTCAGTCTTAAAAAAAAACTCCAAAGTCTACCCAGCTCATCTGCCAAGACTTCCTCTCTGCTTCCTCCAGGCAGCGTGCAGGCCTCGCCCTCCCCCTTCCCCACGGCCCTTGAAGGGAGCCTCTCAGGTGTTTCTCACAACAATAATGACAGCGGCAGTAATAATAATGAACCCACTGCTCCTTCCGGAGCCTCTCCCTTTCCCTGTGGTCGTTTGAACCTCCCGATGACCCTGTGGGAAAAGAAAACCTTGGCCTAAGGTTTGATGTGGGACCCATCATAGCTTTAATAAACATTTCATTAATTGTTTAATTAAATTAATGTTTCCTGGGGGCTGACTCTGGGCCAGGCACTGTGCCCAGGTCTGGGGATTCCAAACAGAATGAGACACGCGTGAGACCAGGCCATGTTCCTCTGGAGCACAGAGACCAGTGGAAGAGAAGAAAAATACACATAAAAAAGTCATGGAAAAAACTGCACTTGTGAGAAGTACCATGTAAGAGAGATGGGCCGAGGGGAGGAATGATGGGGAGGAAGGACTCAGACAGGGAATGGAAGAGGGCTTCCTGGAGGAGGTGGCAACTGAGCCCAGAGGTGAGTTTAGTTGGGGAAGATGCAGTGAGATCCAGGCAGCTTGGCAGTGACTCCCATGGTGTGAGAGGGTTGCATATGGGTCTTTCTACTGGCATCATGGTATCCATACCTGGGTATCATGCCCTGTCTCCTTGTGAGGAGACCACAGGGGCCCTCACCTCCCTCACTCCAGCTCACTATCCAAAGGGTTGTCAGAGGGGTGTTGCAAGGCCTTCCCAGGGCTGCCAAGGGTGCTTGCTCACCAGCCCCACCATGTTCCCCAGATCGTGGCGGCCACCATTGACAACGCCAACTTGGTGCTGCAGATCGATAATGCCCACCTGGCAGCTGATGATTTCCGCACCAAGTGAGTCGGGGCTTCCCAGGTGGCTCAGGGGTCTGGTGCGGTCTAGCTCTGCACCCCACAGAGCTCTCCGTGTGTATGAGGGTGTCCTCGGGGCACTCCATGCCTCATGCTTCCCCTCGTTGCAGGTATGAGACGGAACTGAACCTGCGCATGAGCGTGGAGGCTGACATCAACGGCCTACGCAGGGTGCTGGATGAGTTGACCCTGGCCAGAGCCGACCTGGAGATGCAGATTGAGAACCTCAAGGAGGAGCTGGCCTACCTCCGGAAGAACCATGAGGAGGTGAGGCCGGCTCAGGGATGGAGGAGAGACTTGGCTGGGAACAGGCAAGGCTGGGCTCCCCACATCTTCCTGGGCCAAGACCACGCTCTCCGTCCAATTCCTGTCTCTGATGCGTTCCTGGCTCTGACCCTGGGAGACCCTCAGAGGGCCCTGGTTGAAGCCTGGAGGGTCCTCTCTCTGGAAAGATACTTCCCTATCGCTCGAGGCACAGGCTGCTATGTGGTGGCAGTTAACTATCTAATGGGCCAATCGGTCTAAGAACACACCGGCTAATTATTATGATTAATTGTAATAGTGATAGTCATAACAACAGGGAACATCTGCCCAGCGCATTCCAAGTGATTCACAGCAATTATCTCAGCTGATATGGACAGCATCACTGCGAGAAAGGAGCCAGTTCCTCCCTTTGCCTGCGAGGGGACTGAGGCTCAGAGAGGTTAAGGAATTTATCCAAGGCTGCACGGGGGTGGGTCTTCCCTCCAGTCTGCCTGAGCCATGTCTGCACCAGCTCTGACGCCACCATTCTGACACTTCTCCCACCTCCTAGGGACCCCAAGGCTTAACCCAAGTGTAGGGATCCAAGACCCTGCAGGGGGACTGATGAGCCTTGTGGCTTCCTTCTCACCAGACCTCTGGGGTGGCCTGAGCTGAGAGAGCCTAATGCCCGAACGGCAGGAGTTCATCAAGTGGTTCTGCTTGATTTTGAGGCTGGTTTTGGGGGTGCATCCCTGAGCAGATTCACATTTCCTAGTGAGGCCTGACTTCCCCAGTAGCAGCAAGGGGCTGCTTTCCTTGTGCTTGTGCTGCGTGGCTGGTGGTAGGGGCCCGAAGTGAGGGGTCAGGGCAGCGAGTGAGGTTGTCCTGGCTCATCCCCCAGGGTAACCAGGAGCTGCCTTCTCTCCTGCCCCAGCACCCACTGGGACTGGGTGAAGTCCACCCTCCAAGTGTGTGTTGGGGGAGATTGTTGACATCCACAGCCATGCGCGTTTGAGACATGACCACATCCATCTCCACCTTCAGGGTGAGGAGCTGTTGGCCTGTCTGTGTCTGTCCTCTGTGATCATCTCTCCCAGAATGAGAAGGCAGCCCCAGGCACTCTCCCCAGGATGGCCCTGAGTGAGCTCCTCTATCCCTCTCTGCCCAGGAGATGAATGCCCTGCGAGGCCAGGTGGGCGGGGACGTCAACGTGGAGATGGACGCCGCCCCTGGCGTGGACCTGAGCCGCATCCTGAACGAGATGCGCGACCAGTATGAGAAGATGGCGGAGAAGAACCGCAAGGATGCCGAGGACTGGTTCTTCAGCAAGGTGGGCGGCCTGCGTGAGCAGGTGTGCACACGGGTGTGCGCAGTGCTTTGTGCTGGGTACTGCCTGGAAAACTTGCAGATGTGGATTCCCAGCTGGAAGGACCTTTGGAAGCCAGTTGGGACCAAACCATCACGTTCAGGGGGAGACTATGAGGCTCAGAGAGGCCTCAAGCTCACATAGCCCTTTACGGGGGCCAGGGGAGCAGAGCCAGATCTCCCGACCCCACCAGACAACCCCCACCCAACCCCCAGCCTGGGAATTCGTAGGTAGGTGTGTATTTGGATGCAGACTCCTATGCCCCCAGTAAGAACAACACCCAGAGCAAAGGCCAGGGCCTGCCCTTACGTGCGCCTGCAACCCAGTAAGGAAGCAGCAGAGGACCGCAGGACAAGATGAATCCTGCAAGCGCCAGTGTGTACCAGCGAGCCTGAGGCCCTCTAGGGCCAGGGAAGGGCGGGTCTGGGAGGTCAGGGCTTGGGGGTGGCCCCTGCCCTCTGCCTCACCTCTGCCAGCCTCCTCAAGCCCCAGGGGCCCATCCTGCCTTCCAGACGGAGGAGCTGAACCGCGAGGTGGCCACCAACACCGAGGCCCTGCAGAGCAGCCGCACGGAGATCACAGAGCTGCGCCGCACGGTCCAGAACCTGGAGATTGAGCTTCAGTCCCAGCTCAGCATGGTAGGGCCGCCGTCCCCTCCCTGCCCTGTGCCCACTGCTCCAGGGTGGGCCCCGCCTCCTGGACCCCCGGTGGGAGAACCAGAGGCTCCCTGCCCGCTCTGCCATGCTGGCAGCACCCACAGGCCTGCACCACCTGGGGACCCACTTCTGGAGGCTCCGTCGTGGGGAAGGGCCCCAGCTTGGTTTCCCCAGTCACCTACACCTCGATCCCCAGAAAGCGTCGCTGGAGGGCAGCCTGGTGGAGACCGAGGCACGCTATGGAGCCCAGCTGACCCAGCTGCAGGGGCTCATCAGCAGCATCGAGGCTCAGCTGAGCGAGCTCCGCTGTGACATGGAGCGGCAGAACCACGAGTACCAAGTGCTGCTGGACGTGAAGACCCGGCTGGAGCAGGAGATCACTACCTACCGCCGCCTGCTGGAGGGCGAGGACGCCCAGTGAGTGGAGGGCACCCCGCACCTGCTCAGTGGGCTGGAGTGGCTTCACCCAGGAGGGATAGGGCCAGCTGAGGCAGGAGGAGGTGTGGAGGCTTGCGGGAGACGAAGCAGAGAACACTGGCTGGGGTCCCACTAGATGGTATAGGCTCTGGGGAGCCAACAGGGTGCTTTTGTGTAGAGAGAAGTATGGTTGTCAAGACTTCTTAGAACAGTCACTTTGGCTACAGAGAGAGAAATGTGTCTGAGGGGAGAGGGTGGGGTCAGGGAGACCTGTCAGAAAACTGGAGCAGGGAGTAAGGCCAGGGAAAGTGTTAGTCGCTCAGTCAGGTCCAGACTCTTTGTGACTCCATGGACTATAGCCCTCCAGGCTCCTCTGGCCATGGAATTCTCCAGGCAAAAATCTTGGAGTGGGTGGCCATGCCCTCCTCTAGGGCATCTTCCCGACCCAGGGATCGAACCCAGGTTTCCTGCGTTGCAGGCAGATTCTTTACCGTCTGAGTCACCAGGGAAGAAGACCTGCTATAAGGCAGGTGGAGGACAGGGGAGGGGAGGTGGTGCACTCAGAGGATGTGTTACAGCTAAAAACAGCAGGGCTGGATGCCTGAACACGGGAGTGAGCGTGGCTTGTAGGCGGAACTCAATAAATGTTTGAGTAAGTGCATGAAGAAACGGGTAACAATGACCCTGGGTTTCTGGTTCCAGTGACTGTATGGATGGTGATCCCATTGTCCAGGATGGGTGGCGCTCTGGTTTGGAGTTGGGAGGGTGCTCAGGCCCTGGTGTAAAGGGGCCATGGATATCCTGGAGTCTCCATGCTCAGACACTCATTCCAGCGTTTTGCTCTGTGACCATGGCCAAGTCCATCTGTAGTCTAACCACAGTCTCTCCTCTTTTAATGAAGTTTATTTGTTGGGCCCTTCAGGATATGGAAAAAAAAACACTCGCTCAGCTTCTCCTTGTAAATCCCTGGTTGGCAGCAAAGTGCCTCTGGGCCTCCTGTTGGGGTATCCGCTTTCTTTATTCCTGCCCACTGGGCCTGTCCCTTTGACCCCATGGCTGCCATTCTCTTCTGCGTACTCCCCGCTGTGATTTCTCTCTGTTTTCCTGGGACCTCTTTCCCCTCAGCCTCCCCAGCTGCTCCTGCTCCCAGGGGGCTGGACTCCCCACCGGCACCCCTGGGCTGACAGCTCCCCCTCTTCCTGCAGCCTGTCCACCCAGTATTCCTCCTCCCTGGTCTCACAGCCCAGCCGGGAAGGTAAGAGCCTGCCCCGTCCTGCCCAGGGCGGGTGGGGAGAGGCTGAGGCCCCTTCTGTGTGGGGGGCTCAGGGAGGGCCTCCAGCCTGAGGTTCTGTGTATATCCTTCCCCCTCCGCCTGCAGGCACGGTGACCACCCGCCAGGTGCGGACCATTATGGAGGAAGTCCAGGACGGCAAGGTGGTCTCCTCCCGCGAGCAGGTCCACCGCTCCACCCACTGAGGCCCCTTTCCACCTGCAACAGCCCAGCCTCCAGGGCCCAGGGGCAGCCATTGCCTCCAGCTCCCAGCATGCTACTGCCGCGCCCCGAGAGCCCGTCTGGGCCACCACCCAAGAGCTGTTGCATTTCTCTGTCTGCTTCCCGCAGCCCCTCGCTGACGGGGGCCTCCTTACTTTGTCCCAGTGACTGCAATTAAAGCTATGCTTGAAGTTCTGTGTCTCCTGTGATTTGGTCTGGTCATTGGTTTGGGCAGTGTGGGCTGGCGATGGCGGGGTGAGACAGACATTGTTAAATGTCTGGGGCTGCTTGTCACCTGCCAATCTGTTCTCCCACCCCATCCGGGCCTGGGGCCCAAAGGAGGGAGGCAGGATGCTTGAGGATAGAGGGATGGGACAGTCCACCAGTTGGGGAAGGTTTTGAGAATCAGTTCCTGGGTCCCCTAATGTCTGAGACTGGCCCCTGGGAGGGCCCCATAGACTTTCCAGGAGCCACACCTGTTATAGAGAGCGCCCTGCCTCAGCCTGGGGCGGCTACAAGGCCAAGATCAGAGGGAGAGGGGCTGGGCAGGGGACTTCCTGGAGAAGTGGTCCAGGGCACTGAAGGGTGTGAGGCTGGCAGGGGCTTGGCCACCCCAAGGAACCAGACGGGCTCTGTTGGGCTTGGGGGTGTGTGGGGCGGGGTGGCCGCTCTGCGTGTGAGCGTGGGGGGGGGCGTCCTGTTTGCTTTGGTGGCTTGGCAGCTGCAGGGCTATTGGGGAATCTCTCTCAGCTGCTGGCGGGGGCTGTCTGGGCCTGTCTGGGAAGTGGAAGCCATTGGCAGTCTGAGACACGACCACATTCCGCCCAGCGGGCCCGCCGGGACCCTGGGACCGAGGGTGGTGGGCAGGTCAGGGTGGGGCTGTGGGGCGGGCACCCGGCCCATCCTGAGGGGCTAGCTCAGGGGATGGGGTGGGGCCTCTGGGGGTGGCTGCAGGGGAGGGGACTGGCGGGGGTTGGGGGTTCCCAGGAAGACCGTCTTCTTGGCCAGTGTCCTTTAGATTTCCAGCCGGCTGGGACCTGAAGCCATATACCCCCATCCGAGGTTCTTGGGACACAGGAGGGGTAGGGAGGCTGGAAGGGGCCTGCCATCTCAGAGTTCTTCCTGTTCCCCTTATCTTGATGCCCCCTCCCAAGCTGCTACTTCCCCAGCCTGCAGCTAAGCTCCTCTTTGCCCACTCTAGCCCAGAACTCCCCATCTGAGAAAGAGAAAATGGGGAAAGGTCAAGAAAGGATGCTAGAGTCCCAGGGGGTTCCAAGGATAGAGACAGGAGCAGAAAACTGGCCAGACGGAATCATGGCCCCAACATGCTCCCCTGGCATCCGAGCCCTGCAGAAAGGGGGGGCCAGTGTGTCAGGGGCCCCCGGGGAGGCGGAAGGGTGCTGTGGCTGAGTGCAGTGAAGGATGAAGGATGAAACCCAGCCAGCCGGGTTCTGAGTCAGGTCGGGCAGAGGGACACCCTCCCCGTATAAGCCCCAGTTTCCTTTACTGTAAATGGGGTGGTAATCAACCTTGACCAAGATGCTGCATGCTGAGCCCCGTGGGTGGGTCCAAGGCAAGATGGGGTCTCGGGGCTCGCTGCCCCCTCTGCCGCCCAGGGGTAGCCCCAGGTGTGGCATGGTGTATGGCTGGGAGCAGCCTGGGTTCCAAACCCTTTTGCCCACCAGACCCAGGGTCCAAGCAGGTGTGGCTGGGGTGGCAGCTGCCTGGGAGGGCCCGTGACACTGACGTTCTTCTTATTCCTCTTCTCCGTATTAGGTCATGGGAAAGCGTAGCTGGAGGGCCCGCCTGAATCACAGGTGACGGGCCTGGGACCAGAGGCACACACACGCAGACGCCCAGTGTGAGGGTTCAGAGAAATGATGCAAAGACCTGACGGTGGGAGGGGAGGGGGCCCACAGCCACCTGGGAGCTGGCAGGCAGCCAGCAGTGATGAAAGCCCAGGGGAATGGAAACAGAGGAGTGAGCCTGTTGTAATCGCTACACCCACTTGTCAGGGCCTATAAAGGAGGCCGGTGAGCCCCGGCAGTCACAGCACCTTGGGCGTCTCTCCTCTCCAGCCTTTCCGTGTCTCCCCGCCACCTGCTGCTGCCACCATGACCACCACCATCCGCCACTTCTCCTCCGGCTCCATCAAGGGCGCCTCCGGCCTGGCGGGCGGCTCGTCCCGCTCCTGCCGGGTGTCTGGCAGCCTGGGCGGTGGCTCCTGCAGGCTGGGGTCTGCCGGCGGCCTGGGCAGTGGCCTTGGAGGCAGCAGCTACTCTAGCTGTTACAGCTTTAGCTCTGGCGGTGGCTATGGCAGCGGTGGTTATGTCAGCGGTGGCTATGGTGGCGGCTTTGGAGGTGTCGACGGGCTGCTGGTGGGAGGCGAGAAAGCCACCATGCAGAACCTCAACGACCGCCTGGCCTCCTACCTGGACAAGGTGCGCGCCCTGGAGGAGGCCAACACGGAGCTGGAGCTGAAGATCCGTGATTGGTACCAGAAGCAGGCCCCAGGGCCGGCTCCTGACTACAGCTCCTACTTCAAGACCATCGAGGATCTGCGGAACAAGGTAGGAGCTGTGATGGGAGGGGTCCTGGGTGGGGCACAGCTTTTCCTCCACTGCCATCTGCCCTTGCTCAAGGCCTGGAGCCCAGCCTGGGGGCTGCCACAGGGTCTTGGGGAGCCAAGGACAGCTTGGCTCCAGCTTGACCTCTGGGAGCCCACCTTGGGGCCACTATGTGGCTTACGATGTCTTTTTCAGGACAGTAGCCTGGGCTAGGGACAAGTAGGTCTTGTGGGGCTCCCTGGAGCCTGTTTCCCATCATGGAGCTTTTTGCCACCTTGTATGGTTGTAGGATAAGAGGGCTGGAGGCATGAGGAGGGCTGGGCTCCTGGGGCTGCCGGATACTCAGACATAGCTTTCCTTGGAACAAGAGGGGGATTTAGGGCTAAGGTGGTGTCAGGGGTCTGGTGAGCTCCTGCTGGCACCTGCTGGGAGGAGGAGGCAGGAGAGAGCGGGTGGGACCTCAGGAGCCCACTTCTATGCCTTATTTGGGGATTTTTCTGGCTTCTCCATCTCTCCTGCTGCGCCCTCAAGACAGGCTCCGCAAACTTGGGGCAGGGCTGCCTGCTGGAGTTTAGGGGCAGGGCTTAGCAGAGGTCACGACTTCTGATTTGGAATTACACTTTGGTGAGGGCTCCTTTAGTTTTCCTCTTGCGGGAAACCTCTCAGGGGCACCGTATCCCCAGTTGTAATAAGAGGGAGTTTCTCACATCCATCCTCTTTCCAGGATTCAGGAAGAGTTTCTGCCTGGGGCATCCTCCTATTCTTTTCTGGCTCTCGTGCATTCCAAGGCTGGCACTCCCAGCTGGCTGTCTGCTTTACTTTAAGGCAGAGTCTGGCAAGGGGGTTCTGTGGGGGGGAGGAGGCAAGTCTGGGAGAGGAGGGGAGTATCAGCCATCAGACTCCTGCTGGCCCTGCCTCTGTCACCAACTGTTGAGCAGTAAAGCTGGGAGACAGGGTGGTAAGGGAGCCTTCCCGGAGAAGGTAGTCACATCCTGGCCCCCAGATGGAGAGTCTCATCTCAGAATCCTGGTCTGGGCTGAGTTGCTCCCACCCAGGAACCTGATCACTTCATCACTGACTCAATGGATATGAATTTGAAGAAACTCCAGGAGATGGTGAAGGACAGGGAAGCCTGGTGTGCTGCAGTCCATGGGGTGGCAAAGAGTTGGACATGAATTAGCAACTGAACAAATACCCCCTCATCATTCAAGGGCAGGGTGCTGGCCAGAACCTGCACCAGCCAGTCCAAGCATCTTGACGGAAGTCTCTGGTTCCCTTTGCAGGTTTGAGACAGAGCAGGCCCTGCGTGTGAGCGTGGAGGCCGACATCAACGGCCTGCGCAGGGTCCTGGATGAGCTGACCCTGGCCAGAGCTGACCTGGAGATGCAGATCGAGAACCTCAAGGAGGAGCTGGCCTACCTCCGCAAGAATCACGAGGAGGTGAGGCAGCTGGGGCAGTAGGTCAAAGAGATGCTGAGGGGGTGGCAGGGCTCCATTGCTGTGCCAAGGCTGCGACTGGGATGAGAAGTCCTACTGTGTAGCAGATTCTGAAGTTCGCTGGGCTTAGTTAGGTGATGGAAGAGAGGGAGGGGAGGCAGGAGGCAGAGAGAGGAGTCAGGAAGATGGGCAGGGGTGGGGCCTTGCCTTCCAAGGTCTCAGGGCCCCACGACTGGGATTGGCTTTCATTCCACCCCCCTCATCATTGGAAGGCAGGGTGCTGCCCAGGTGTCTAGGTTGGTTAGCTTAGAGCATTGCCCTGTCTGCAGAGCCCAGTTACCCATGCAGGGCAGCCTTCTCCATGTACCACCCTGCTTCCCTGCATCTGGGGAGTCTCCCAGGGGCCCACAGAAACCTCTTATGCCCATCCTGGCCTCCCTCACCAGACTGGAGATAATTGAGGAGGATTCCCAGCTCAAACCCTCCAATCTGGACCCTAGGTAGAAATATGGAATTAGATGGGAGGTTTTGGGGGCTCAGGCCTAAGATTTAATTTTCAGAGAGCCCTCAGTCTAGTGGGGGAGCACAGAATCTATCCTGGGGGAACCCCTAGTCTGATATTGGAGGCAAAGCCCACACAGACCAGGTGAACAAAAGTTATGTGGAGGATCAGAGGGTAGAGGGGGAGCAGAACAAAGGAGATGTTGTGGGAGGGGTCTGGAGAGCTTGCGTGGGAAGGTTGGGAGTGAGAGGTCAGCGTGGGGGATGCCCACACCCACCACCCCCTCCTCCACAGGAGATGAAAGCCCTGCGAGGCCAGGTGGGTGGCGAGATCAACGTGGAGATGGATGCCGCACCCGGCGTGGACCTGAGCCGCATCCTGAACGAGATGCGCGACCAGTACGAGAAGATGGCGGAGAAGAACCGCAAGGATGCCGAGGACTGGTTCTTCAGCAAGGTGGGGGCTGCCGCAGACCAGAGGTCTCTCTCAGGGTGTGGGGTGCAGGACCTGAGCCCCCACAGTAAGCCCAGAGCCTGGCATGTTGGGCTACACGGTGAGCTGCACAGATCCTGGGTGTCAGGGTCGCCTGTTGCATTCACAGGCCTACAGCTTGCCTGAAACTGGGATCTGATGGGGTCAGGGGGAGCCACCCTCAGGAATAAAGCCAGTGGGTCAAGACCCCAGGAGCTTCCATCTGTCCCTCAAGAAGTCAGGAACCAGTACCATGGGCCTGGCTACTGTCCTGGCTGGTTCTCAAATTTCCTACTCTTGTACCTTCTTCTTGAAGGCATTAGAGATAAAACTTAACATCCTTTCAAAGTCTTCTAGGTTTGGGGAGGTGGGAGGCTGATGAGAAGGCGTTGCTCCTGCAGTCAGGTTTGGAAGGAGGCTTGAGAGGCCTAGGGAGGTCAGGAAGGTAGCTGTGGTGAAGGGAGTTGGGGGGAATAGGGTGAGCCCAGGTGCCTGTCTGGGTCCAGAGTGGGCCCTGGGCTGAGCATATGGAGACCATGGGGGTCGCCTTGGAGAAGGGAAGCTGGGCTCATGCTGCCCTGTCCTGTCTCCTGTCTGCAGACGGAGGAGCTGAACCGTGAGGTGGCCACCAACAGCGAGCTGGTGCAGAGCGGCAAGAGCGAGATCTCAGAGCTCCGGCGCACCTTGCAGGCCCTGGAGATCGAACTGCAGTCCCAGCTCAGCATGGTAGGGGCGAGGCCGGGCCTGGCAGGGAGGTGCCCAGGGCTCTGGAGGGGGCCCTGCTCACCCTCGCTGATCCGGCCTCTCCTGCTCCCCTGCAGAAAGCATCCCTGGAGGGTAGCCTGGCTGAGACAGAGAACCGCTACTGCATGCAGCTGTCCCAGATTCAGGGCCTGATCGGCAGCGTGGAAGAGCAGCTGGCCCAGCTGCGCTGTGAGATGGAGCAGCAAAACCAGGAGTACAAGATCCTGCTGGACGTGAAGACCCGGCTGGAGCAGGAGATCGCCACCTACCGCCGCCTGCTGGAGGGCGAGGACGCCCAGTGAGTGGGAGAGCTGGGCCAGGGCTGGGGGCCTGGGGCAGGGCTGAGTCCCAGACCCACATCTAATCTTTGTTTTTTTTTTTTTTGCAGCCTGATCCAGTACAAGACCAAAGAACGTAAGCATTTTGGTAACTGAGGGTGGGGCTGTACAAGGCAGGTGACCCACCTGCACATTGCTGGGGGAGTGACCACAGGAGCTCCAGGAAATGATGGCTGATCCTCAGCAGGGGTCAGGGAAGAGACCTGGTGGGGCTCAGGGTCCTAATTAGATGAGGGAGACACTGTCTGGTCTGATGGGGGCGGGGCAGGAAAATGCCCTTACCTGGGAGATCCTAGGCTGAGAAAAGAGACTTGGTCCCAGCTCTGAGACTCTCATCTGGTGGGGAGATAGGCACATGGTCTCATTCTCTTTGCTCTTGGGACCTTACAGATGAGTAAAAGCAGTCTCATGTCTGGAGTTTCTTGTCTGGTGGCAGAAAGGGACTTGATCCTTGTCCTCCAGATCCCAGTCTGAAAAGGAAGATAAGGTCCCAGCCTCTAGTCTAAGGGAGATGATGGGGACCAGGGTCTTGTCTTGGCTCCGCTCAGGGGGCTGGGGGCTGAGCCAGGATCTCTGGGTCCCCACCCACCCCGAGTGTCTATCTCCTGCAGCCGTGACCACCCGCCAGGTGCGCACCATTGTGGAGGAGGTGCAGGACGGCAGGGTCATCTCCAGTCGCGAGCAGGTCCACCAGACCACCCACTGAGGGCTCTCTCCCCCACCAGCCCCGTGGGGCTACCCACTGGCTGCGCAGCCTCCAGCCTCCCCAGCCTCAGTCCCCCAGCTTCAGTCCCTTTCCTGTCCTCACTCCCTGACCAATAAAGCTTGTTGACTGAGACATAGAATGCTTCCTTTTTGTGGCCACTGAGGACCCTAGTGAGGAAGGGGTGAAGGGTATGGGGGAAATGGGGACGGGGGAGCTGTCCGCGGACACCCACTGTTGTTGACTTGGTGGACAGGGGTCATCTTAGAACAGGGGTGAGGACTAGGTCTGGGCAGAGCTTGGGGGATTGCTTGTGCCTCCCAAGTGCTGATGATCCCAGGGAGGGTGGTCCAGGCAGTGACCCCAGGGAGGGTGGTCCAGGCAGCACCAGACCCAGGGCGAGGTCAGCGTGTCAGGAGGACGTCTTAGGTGCCCTCTTCTTGCCCCATAAGTGGGTCCGTGACCTTGGGCGGTGCCTTCCCCTCACGGAGCCTCATTTTCTCATCCCTAAATGGACAAGAATATCTCAGGAGCAAGAGCTCCTCACGGTCCTGTGGGCTGTGTCCTCCTCTTAGAGGGGACGAGGTGGGTGGGGGGGTGGCGGTTGGGGAAGAGAGGCAGGCCAGGACAGGAATCAGGATCCTCCCAAGAGAGACACCAGGACTGAAGGTGGGTGGGTGGAACCGGATGCTTCCATTGTCTCAACTCCAGGAATCTTGAGACCTGCGCTTCCAGAAAAGGCAGGTGTGGGAGAGAGGGCGGGGCCTCTTCCAGGGACGTCTCCTCAAATGGTCAGCTGAGGATAGGGCATTCAGGGGAGGTGGTACCCTGGGAGCAGCACCGCCCTCCCGGGCCCTTTTTCCCCTCCAGGTTCCAGCAGCTTGGAGGTCAGGTGAAGCTGCCTCCTGGGGAAGGGGGAGGGGCCGTCCTGCCCATTCTCTCTAACACCCTCCAGCCCAGCCCTACTCGCTCAGCCAGCAGGGGAGGAGTCCCGGAAGTCTTCCTTTGAGTAAATCTGAAAACCACTGGGCTGGGTGGGTCTGATTTTTCGGTGTTCTTTAGAAGTCGGGGTGGGTGGAGGGATTAATGAGAGGAGGGATGCCCCCATCCTAGTTCACAGACAGGCCTGGACTCTCTGCTGCTGCAGAGTCACACAGACCACTCCAAACACCTGTTGTTCCCAATGCCTGGAGACTGAGGGTCGGCCCAGGGGCAGGAGCAGCCAGAGACCCCAGTGGTGGGGGTTTGGGACCAGAGGGAGAGGGGGCGGGAGGAGCAGGCGGGGCAGTGGCACGGGCGCTGTCTATGAAGCGGGCAGCGGGGTGTGAGGACTTGGAGCAGATCCCAGGCCCTCTCTGGATCTCAGAAGTAGCAGTGAAGGAGGGGCTAGATGAGCCCCCGGCCCGCGGCCCTTCCCGCCCTGACCCCACAGACGCGGAGGACAGGGAGTTCCCTTCCACGGGCTGGAATCCAGGGCGCGCATCTGCAGAGGCAACCGCAGGACTCCAGCGGGCTCGGAGTGTGGGCTGGCGTCTGTCCGTTGCCTGGGCAGCAGTCCCTGTAGGGATGGAGGGCGAGAGGGAGGAGGTGCTGAACCCACCAGGCCCCCAACCATACATCCGGCCGCAACCAGAAGAACCAGCCCTGGGCCGCGGATGGCTCATCGAGGGGTGATCTCATTTACCTGAACAACAGTCTCAGGAAGCGCGGAGAGGCGCCCCATTGTGTGGATGGGGACACTGAGGCTCCGAGGAGCAGTGACTCAGCCCCTGTCCGGAGCCTGGCGTGTCAGGGGTGGAGCGGGGCGCAGGAGGGGCGGGGCTGTGCTGGGAAGGGCGGCCAGAGCCCCACCCCCTGCCCAACCCCAGGCTCTTGGGCGGGGCCCCTGTCTCCCCGCAGACTCTGGAGGTCCCCTCTTACTGAGGGGCCGAGGGAGGAGGGGTCAGAGTGTGGGGCTGGCCAGAGGCAGCCCCCGACTTCACCCTTCTGCGGGGAAAGAAGTCCCTGCCCGCATAGTGAGTGGGTGGGTGGTCCGGAGGCCACAATGGGGGAACAGCCAGATGTCTCCAACTGCCCCAGGAGGGTGTTGGCCGCAGTGCTGGGGTTGGGGGTCCTTGGGGCAGAGCGCCGGGCCCAAAGAGGGAATGCCCGGCCCTTTCCAAGAATGCTCAGCCTGGGCCCGGGCAGGAGGGAGCAGCAGGGAAGAGTGACGGGGGGTGAGGGCCGTGGTCCTGGGGACACTGTATGGCTTTGTCCAGGCACGCCAAGCTGACCTAGGCTGCTGGGGCGTGTGCAGGCAGCGGGATCCGGGGACCCAGCTGCGGGCTTCTCTGGAGGGACTCCCAGTCCGTCCACACCTGCACTCCCGCCCACTGCTGCACGGAATGTTTCGGTGAGCTGGGCTGTACCTACCCCCGGTGCAGCCTCTCCCACTTTCCTATGATGGCCACATGCATGGGATTCCCAGGATGGGGCTGGGCCAGTGGTAGCCAGTCCCTGTGACTCTGCCTTCACACACCCACACCGGGAAGGGTGACCTGGTGGCACTTCTGCTGAGAAATGACACGGCCGTCACACTGTCTGCAGCACTGTGTCGCTCTGTGCCCGGGTCTGCGCTGGGCATGGGGGAAGGAAGAGACCCAGGCCTTGGCCTGGGAGGCCCCTGAGCCACCTGGAGGGAGCCCAGTCTAGGGCTGGTGAGCTGGCAGGCCTGACACTTCCCTCAACCCTTAGGAACTGCAGTCTTCTGCGCCACCCAGGCTGTCCGGGGCTGAGGGGAACAGCGGGACAGAGCCAGGACAGTTCTGCCTCTTGGCAGCGCGCAGGCGCTCACCCAGCCTGACCCAGCCACAGGCTCCCCTGAGGGCCTCTTGGTTGTGCAGCCTTCGTGAGGGGCTCTGAGAATCCCACGAGGGAAGGGGAGCATCAAACATGGTCGGGGAGAGAACCACAAAAGGCAGATCAGGTGGTCACAGACTCACCCAGATCCTGGGACCAGTCGCGGGGCCAGAGCCTGTATCCAGGCTATTTGTTCCCTCCCAGAGAGCCTGTCCCCTCCCTGCAGGCCCCCTGCACCCCATCATGGCCTGAACACTCAGTGTTAGGATCGCCTCTACCTTCTTCAGATGACCTGCTTTGAGGCCTCTCTGTCTTGTTCTTTGCATCTGAGTGTCCACACAGTGTGTGGCACATAGTAGGTGTTTTATAAATACCTGTGGATAAATGCAGTGATAGCCACAGCTCTGTGCAAACTTCTTGATTTATTTCACCCCTATGTGCCTGTGAAGTAGTGCTGCTATTCCCATTTCCCAGAGAAGGAAACTGAGGCTCAGAGGGGAGGAGTGACTTGCCCAGTATCTGGCCCCTGCTTGCTCAGCTCCAACCTGCTCTGTCCTGGCTTGTTTGGGCTCCTCTCTTTCTTCATCCTGACCTGAAACCTGTGGCTCTGGCTGCCAGCGGGGGCTGGGAGCTCCCCCCCCCCGCCTCCCCAGAATCTCATCCTCCCCTGCCTCCCCAAGCCATCTCTTGCTCCCCAGCCTGGCTGGTCACTGGAATCCCCTGAGATCTTGTAAAAATGTCCTCACCATCAGGTTTATCCAGCCCAGTGCTGATGAAGTGGGTCAGAGCAGGGCCTGGGAATCTGTATGGGGACTCTCATGACCAGTCAGGTTTGGGAATCACTGCAAGTTGAGTGCCAAGTTGCTTCAGTCCATTTCTGACCCTTTGTGACCCATTGGACTATAGCCCACCTGGTTCCTCTGTCCATGGGATTCTCCAGGCATGGATATTGGAGTGGGTTGTCATGCCCTCCTCCTGGGGAATCTTCCCGACCCAGGGATTGAACCTGCATCTCTTACATCTCCTGCATCGGCAGGCGGGTTCTTTACCACTAACACCACCTGGGAAGTGTGGCATTGGCCAATGATATTCCCTGGCCAGTTCAGGTATGCGTTGCTACCTGGGACGGGGCTGGATCAAGGAGAAAGGAAAGAGGCTGGGGTGGAGGAAGGGATGGGAGTCTGTGCTCTGTGCCGACCAGGCCTGGCAATTCTAGCTCTTGCCAACCTTGGTGCAGGTATGTCTCACTGGAGGAAATGCCAGCTGCATCCCACAGGCCAAGCGTCCCATGTTTCCTGCTGTACAAGCAGGGCTGTATTTCTGACCTTAATTTTTCTCTCCAGGGTCAAACGATAAGTTCCCAGTTCAGAGACCATGATGATGTCGCTCTCCTCCCCTCTGCACCCCAAAGGCGTGGTGGGTGCTCCGTCTGAGGTGTTGACTGAAGAGGTCTGATGGGTTGGTTGGCAGCTTCCTGAAGCTTCTCAGCCCACGCAGGTCCCCGATCTCCAGGACAGGACCTGCTGTGTAATCCTACCCCTGACTCATCTAGGACGGGGATGGGGGGTAGGGGCGAAGGGGTGGNCCCCCCCCCCGCCATCTTGTCTTCAGCCCCCAGGCCAAGGTCATGCCCTCCGGGCAGAGCTCATTCCAGGCACCTTGGGGAGACAGATGGTAATGGACACACCTGGTCCCCACCTGCAGGGCATGTGTGGAAATGTGGAGACATTCCAAGCTCCAGGGTCTCATCCTGGCTTTGCAGCTCAGTGACTTTGGGTAAATCACCGTTTCTCTGGCTCTCTCTGGGTCTCCCCCTCTTCTCCTCACTTCACAGAGTTGACTCAAGACAATGGTGTTTATTGGAGGGGCATAGAGAGAGTGGTTCAGGATGGTGGAAAGGGTTTGGGATGGGCGAGCAGACAGACAGGGTTTCAAGCCTTAGCTCCCCACTGACTGGAGTCTTGAGTAGTCCGCTTTCCCTTCCAGGTCCATCATCTGTGAACTGGTGGCAGGAACAGGGCTCCTCACAGGACTGTGTGTGGCTTGTGTAGGGCACTCCATATGATACCCGAGCCCTGGTCAGTGAGGCAGGTGACCAGAGACCCACCTTCCCTGTCTCCTTGACTGAACACATGGAGTTGTCAAGATAAACCTAGAATCTGTGGGTGCCCCAGAGAAAACATGGGATCTGAGCCTCAATACAATGTCGGGGCTTGGAAGCCTGTGGTAGGGGTCGGGGTCACAGGGGTGCCAGCAGCAGAGTGGGGACTCCTTCCCACTGCAGTTTTTGGTGGGTACCCATGATTAGGTGAAGCAAGGCATTGGTGGGGGGGTGCTGCTCAAAGGGTGGGAGTGCGAGGGGGCATGGGGAGGGCCAGGGGGAGGGAGGGAGGCACCAGAGGATGGAGGTGGGTGAGAAGGGGCAGGTGAGGGGTAGCTGGGCTGGAAAGGAAGGAAGGGGAGACTTGTGGGGGCCAAGGGTGGCCACTGGGGAGGTCCTTCATGCTTGTTCCTTTGTGGCTAGTGGTATGTCCTCCCCTTTCACAGATGAGAAAACCGAGGCCCAGAGGCTCGCAGACCAAAGGACTGCCTATGCCATGTAGCTTGTCAGGGCAGGGATTCAAGCTGCCATGTACTGGTTTCATGGTACACACCACTTCCAGGAGGTCCTGGGGGCTCAAAAGCATCCCCTGAAACTGAAATTGAATCCAGTAAGGGAAAGAGTCATAGAATTTTTAGAACTAGAAAGAACTCTGAGATTGCCCAGTCCAGCCTTGTCACTTAGCTGAGGGCGAACAACAGCTCATAGAAGGAAGATGGTCACACAGTGAGCACAGCAGAGCAGGGCCACGAACCCAGCTCTCCTGTCCACAGCCAGGATTCCACAGCCGTCTCCCGAGACAGCCCCTGGACAGCATCACTGAGGCCATTCATCCAAGGCTGTCACCATGGGGCAGGGAGTCCTTGCATGGCCTGACTCACTGCCCGGGGATGCAGTCACCACAGAGTCGCCTGTGACAGGGCACTGCTGGCCCCTCAGGCTCTAGGAACAGGAGCCAGATTCTCATCTCTTAGCCTAAGTCACCACCAACTGGAGTTGGGGTGTTTTCTCTTGGCTCCACCCCCCCCCCCAAAAAAAAAAANNNNAGTGAAATGCATCGACCCTGGGCTGAATAATCCAGAGAGGGGCGTTGGATGGGACCCGGAGTGATGAAATCTGGAGGGGAGCCCTGCCTTCCTCACGTGCATATAAACGTTCCTGTTGTTCGAGGCCACCTCAGCATCCTCTCGGCCTCCCTGAGCACCCTGCCCTTCTCGCTTCTCACCATGACCACCTGCAGCTGCCAGTTCACCTCCTCCAGCTCCGTGAAGGGCTCCAGCCGCATTGGTGGGCTCCAGCTGCGTGTCCTCCATCCTGTCCGGAAGCTCCTGCTGGGCCTCCAGCGCCTATGGGGGCCTGTCTGTATCCTGCTCCCCTCACTACTCCTCCGGGGCTGTCTGCCGGCTGGGGGGCAGCTATGGCGGTGGCTTCAGCAGCAGCCTTGGGGGGGCTCTGTGTGGCAGCTTGTTTGGAGGATATGGGGGTGGCCTTGGTGTTGGCTACGCTGGTGGTGATGGCAGCCTCCTCCCTGGCAATGAGAAGATCACCATGCAGAAACTGAATGACCGTCTGGCCTCCTACCTGGACAAGGTGCATGCCCTGGAGGAGGCCAACAGGGAGCTGGAGATGAAGATCTATGACTGGTACCAGAGTCAGGGGCCCAGGCCTGCTCGCGACTACAGCCCCTATTTCAAGACCATTGAGGATCTGAGGAACAAGGTGGGTTGGCCAGGGGGTAGCTCTGGTGGCCCTTAGAAAAACGCTTGCTAGTGTCTCCATTTTACAAAGAGGGAGACTGAGGCCTGCTTTTGAGGAGTGACCACAGGCCACTTAGAATTGGTGGCAGAGGGTCCTTTTTCAGCATCAGGGTACCCTGATGCTGGGCTGGTATCCTGAGTCTCTTATTCCCTGCAAGCATTCTTTGGATTCAGTTTCTCTCAGCCTTGGGCCCAGGATGTGGTGGGGGATACATGGTTGTATCACCCCCCCACACTAAGCTCAGTGGAGAAGGCACCTGAGGCTGACTGGGGGGATGTAAAGCCTGACCTATCAGCTAGACAACTCTCAAGACTGGGGAGGCTTCTTTCTCTCATCTTTGCTATTCACTTCTGAGCAGCAGGGCCTTGGCTAATCAGACCTGTTCTTCATCCCCTCTGCAGATTATCGAGGCCACCATAGAGAATGCACAGCCCCTTTTGCAGATTGACAATGCCAGGCTGGCGGTTGCTGACTTCAGGACCAAGTGAGCAGAGGGCGAGCAGCGGGATTATCCACCCAGGATGATCAGCAGGTCTTGAGCCTCAGAAGCCTCATGATGGACCTTGAGGCCTTCACCTTTGTCTTACCAGGTATGAGCATGAGCTGACCCTGCGTCAGAGCATGGAGGCCAACATCAATGGCCTGTGCCGGGTGCTGGATGAGCTGACCCTGGCCAGGACTGACCTGGAGATGCAGATTGAAGGCCTGAAGAAGGAGCTGGCCTACCTGAAGAAGAACCACGAGGAGGTAAGGTTGCTGCTGGTGGTGGGAGGCAGGTCCAGTGGGGTTGCAAATGCACCTGGGGCCAGGGAAGGGGTAAGTTGAGCACCTCTTCGCATCCCTTCCTAGGAGATGCTTGCCTTACAGAATCAGACTGGTGGGGATGTCGGCGTGGAGATAGATGCTGCCCCCAGCGTGGACCTGAGCCGCATCCTGAATGAGATGCGTGACCAGTATGAGCAGATAGCAGACAGGAACTGCAGGGACGCCGAGGCCTGGTTTCTGAGCAAGGCATGGGACATGGGACATGGGTCCTCAGCCCTTCTGCCAGACTTCCCAGCCAGGGGGCCTCTGGAGCACTCTAAACCTTCTGTTCTTTCCTGTCTCAGTCCGAGGAGCTGAACAAAGAAGCAGCCTTTAACAGTGAGCTGATGCAGAAAAGTCGCAATGAGCTGAATGAACTCCGGCGGGTGCTCCAGGGGCTGGAGGTTGAGCTGCAGTCCCAGCTCTGCATGGAGAAGGACCGGGAGGGCACAGCCCCAGCATCCAAATCGCCAGCAATGGCGCCACCCCCTGTAATGGAACCCTGCCACTAAATGGTTCCTCCTTTTTTCTCAGGAGTGGGTTGGAGGGATCACTGCACCCATTATATAGATGGAGAAATTAAGGCTCAAACAGTGGAATAACTTTTCTCCATGTCGTCTGGTTCATCAGCAGCCCAGCTGGGGTCTAAATCCATGCACCTCTCTGGACACATGCCCAGAGACCTAGGGGGTCAGCAATGATCACTTCTGTTGACTGTCTCTCTCCCTCCCATTCACAGAAAGCATCCCTGGAGAAAAGCCTGGAGGAGACGAAAAACCGCTACTGCCTGCAGCTGGCCCAGATCCAGGAGCAGATCTGCAGCTTGGAGGAGCAGCTGGCCCAGCTGCCCTGCGAGATGGAGCAGCAGAACTAGGAGTACAAGAAACTTGCTGGACGTGAAGACGCAGCTGGAGCAGGAGATCGCTACCTACCGCCGCCTGCTGGACGGCGAGGACGCCCAGTGAGTGCCCGGACCCCCTGTCCTGTCCCCCAGACCCTTCGGCCCTGCCCCTGATGCTCCCAGCACACCTGACCGCTCTGCTTTTTCTCCCGCACAGTCTCTCCTCCCAGAAACCATCCAGCCAAAACTACACTTCCTGCGAAGGTAAGGCTCCTGAGGGTCCCGGCCACCCTTGAGCCCCCGGCCCTCCCAGGGTCCTTCTCACTTCCTTTTCTCTCTCCCACAGTCTTCACCTCCTCCTTCCCGTCCTCCTCTGGCCGGCTGACCCGGTCCATCCTCAAGGAGGAGGGCTCGTCCGGCTTCTGCCCGGGCCAGAGCTGCAAGCCCTTAGCGGCTTCTCCCGGAGCCTCCCGCCTGCTCTCCCGCCTGCCCACCTGCCAGCCTCACCGCCCGAAGGCCCGGGTCTGGCCCCCACTCCCCCCATGTGGCTCCCGGCTGTCTTCCCTCCCTCTCCACTGGTGGTGGGCTAATAAAGCTGAATTTCTGGTTGATGCAAAAATTCTGTGTGGTCTCCATTCTTGAAGTGATGAGAAGGGGTTGGAGATGCCTCCGAGGAATCTTCTGGGACCTGACAGCCTGAGGGAGGAAGCAAAGAGCCAAGTGAAAGAGCTGGCACGGCTTTCCTAGACGACCTCCGGGCTGTTGTGGGGTATGAGTGGGAGTTGGGACGCAGGCTCGGGAGCTTGCTTGCTCATGTTGCTGGATGCTGAGTGAGGGTTTTTAGCAGCTCTTTCCTCCCACTGTCTCCCAGCAACTCGGTGAGCTGGGTGTAGCCAGGCCCATCTTGGAGAGTAAAGTCACACAGACACTGAGTGGCATGACTGTGGCTCGGTCTGTTTGGCTGCAAAGACCATTTTTCTTTTTTTTTTTTTCATTTTTCTTTTATATGGCTCTATCTTTTTAGGTATTTTAACCCAAAGGCTCCCACGTTTGAGCTCCTAACTCTACCCCTTGGCTCCTCGCCTTTGCACACCAGGATTTTTGTGTTGGATGGTAGAGGGTGAGACTTCTGTCTTGGGGGTGGTGTCCACGGTTAGGACTGAATCTTTCTTCTTCCAAACTGCTCCCCCTCATCACTACTATTAACTCTCTTCTCTTCCTCGTTCCCCTCAGCTAGTGAATTGAGTGCCAGTGAGTCCCCCAGAAATATCTGTCACCCATGCCCTCCTCTTCATCCCTACAACCATCGCCACCTTCCTTTCTCCCTGGAACTAGGCCTCTTGCTGTTCATCTCTCCCACTCTCATTTCTACCTAATGACCTTATTTTTTTTTTTTTTTTAAGTATTTACTTATTTGGGCTTCCCTGGTGGTTCAGATGGTAAAGGTCTGCCTGCAGTGCAGGGGACCTGAGTTCGATCCCTGATTTGGGAAGATCCCCTGGAGAAGGGAATGGCTACTCCCTCCAGTATTCCTGCCTGGAGAATTCCATGGACGGAGGAGTCTGTCGGGTTACAGCCCATGGGGTTGCAAAGAATGGGGCATGACTGATCGATTAACACTTTCACTTTCATTTATTTATTTGGCTTCATCGGGTCTTGGTTGTGCATGGGCTCACTTGCTCCCCTTCTTGTGAGATCTGAGTTCCCAGACCAGGGATTAAAGCCACATACCCTGCATTGTGAGACAGATTTCCAATCACTGGACCACCAAGGAAGTCCCCCCAGTGACCATTCTAATGAGAATGTGGGCAAGATAAAAAATGAGGGTGTGATCAGAACCCCTCTGTTCAACCATTCTTGATGTTCCCTCTCCCCTGGGACACTTGGCCTTCCTGTCTCAACACACCAAGGTGTCTCCCTCACCCCCTACACTTTACCCCATGAATCCACCCTACGTGGCTGTTGGGGTGTACCATCCTCTCACTTGCCAAGAATGCCTCTCATATTTTAAAAGTTTAATTAAAAAAATAAAACATGGGAATTCCCTGGTGGTCCAGTGGTTAGCACTCAGTACTTTCACTGTTGGGGCTGGGCCTTCAGTCCTTGGTTGGGGAGCTAAGATCCCACAAGCCATGAGGTGTGGCCAAAACCCCCCAAAACTAACCAAAAAAATCAAAGTTATGTCTGCATATCATCATTAGATTTTTATGAAAAGAGTGGCCCCCAGGCTGACATCCCCAGGTGTCACACACCTCCTTTCCCACCTGCCACTTTCAAGTTTTAGCTCTGACATTTGTCATTTACTTCCTTATTTCTAAATAACAGATTATACTACAATTCCTTGATCTTTTTCAGTTTTAGGTTTCTTTTTTAAAAAATTGAAGATAGTTGATTTACAATGTTGTGCTTCTGGTGTACAGTAAAGAGATTCATATGTATATATCCATATATGTATCAATATATTCTTTTCATACTCTTTTCCATTATGGCTTAGTACAGGCTATTGAATATGGTTCCCTGTGCTATAAGAACGAACCTGTTGTTTATCCATTTTATATGTAGTGGTTTGTATTTACTAATTTCATACTCCTCTTTTCATATGTATATATCCATATATGTATCAATATATTCTTTTCATACTCTTTTCCATTATGGCTTAGTACAGGCTATTGAATATGGTTCCCTGTGCTATAAGAACGACCCTGTTGTTTATCCATTTTATATGTAGTGGTTTGTATTTACTAATTTCATACTCCTCTACCCTGTTCCCTTTTGGTAACCATACGTTTGTTTCCTATGTCTGTGAGTGTGTTTCTGTTTTGTAAATAAGTTCATTCGTGCCATCTTTTAGAGTCCACATATAAGTGATATCATATGGTAATTGTTTTTATTTATCTGACTTACTTCACTTAATATGATAATCTCTGTGTCCATCCATCTTGCTACAAATAGCATTATTTCATTCTTTTTAAGGCTGAGTAGTATTCCATCATGTATATGCACCGAATCTTCCATTCGTCTGCTGATGAGCATTTAGGTTGCTTCCCTGTCTTGGCTATTGTGAATAGTGCTGCTACGAACATAAAGTTGCATGTATCTTTTTGAATTATAGTTTTCTCTGAATATACGCCCAGGAATGGGATTGCTGGATCGTACGATAATTCTATTTTTAGTTTTTTAGGAAACCTCCATACTGTTTTCCATAGTGGCTGCACCAGTTTGCACTCCCACCGGCATTGTGGGGAGTTCCTCTTTCTCCACACTTTCTCCAGCATTTATTATTTGTTGACTTTTTAATGATGGCCATTCTGATTGGTGTGAGGTGATACCTCATTGTAGTTTTGATTTGCATTTCTCTAAGAATTTGTAATGTTGAGCATCTGCTTCTATGTCTGTTGGCCATCTGCATGTCTTCTTTAGAAAGTTATATATGTAGGTCTTCTGCCCATTTTTTGATTGGTTTGTTTGTTTTTTTTGATATTGAATTGTATGAGCTGTTTGTATATTTTAGAAATTAAGCCCGGTTAGTCACATCATTTGTAAATATTTTCTCCCATTCTATAGTTTGTTTTTTCATTTTGTTTATGATTTCCTTTGCTGTGCAAAGTTTACAAGTTTGATTAGGTCCCATTTGTTTATTTTTGTTTTTATTTCTATTGCCTAAAAAAACATTGCTGTGATATACATCAGAGAACGTTTATGTTCTGTTCTAGGGGTTTTATAATGTTTTGTCTTATATTTTAGTCTTCAAGCCACTTGAGTTTATTTTTGTGTGTGATAGGAGGGAGTTTTCTAACTTCATTGATTAACACATGGCTGTCCAGCTTTCCTAACACCACTTGCTGAAGAAACTGTCTTTTCTCCATTGTATATTGTTTCCTCTTTTGTCGAAGATTAATTGATGGTAGGTGTGTGGGTTTATTACTGGGCTCTCTATTCTGTTCCAAGGATCCAGGTGTCTGTTTTTGTGCCAATACCACCTATTTTTTAAAATAAATTATTTATTTTACTTGGAGGCTAATTACTTTATAATATTGTAGTGGTTTTTGTCAAACATTGGCATGAGTAAGCCATGGGTGTACATGTGTTCCCCGTCCTGAAGCCCCCTCTCCCCTCCCTCCCCATCCCATTCCTCAGGGCTGTCCCCCCACCTCCCTCCCCATCCCATTCCTCAGGGTCCTCCTGGTGCGATTACCATAACTTTGTGACATAGTCTGAGGTTTGGGAGGGCTATGCCTCCAGTCTTGTTCTTTTTCCTCAGGATTGCTTTGGAAATTCTGGATCTTTCTTGTTCAGTCACTCAGTCATGTTCGACTCTTTCCAGGTCTTTGTTACTGCCGTATAAATTTTAGGATCATTTGTTCTAATTCTGTGGAAAATGTCACAGGTAATTTGATAGGGATCCTATTAAATCTGTAGATTGCTTTGGGTAGTATGACCATTTCTCAAATTTAGTTTTTGATTTTTTAATGTTAATTTGGCTGTGCCAGGTCCTAGTTGCAGCGTGCAGGATCTTCAGTCATTGTTGTGGCATGCAGGGTCTTTAGTTTCAGCGTGCAAACACATATTTGCAGCATGTAGGATCTAGTTCCTTGACTAGGGACCAGTTCTCAAACCCAGGCCCCCTCCACTGGGAGTATGGAGTCTTAACCACTGGACCAGGGAAGTCCCTCAAGTTAAGTATTTTAATTGCTGCTACAAAGGAAGGGGATTCAGCTTTCTATACAGCATTTTTCCTCTCCACGTTTTTCTACCCTCTCAATAAATTGTAACTAGGTAAATGTTTAATGCTTACGTTATTGTGACTATTTAAATATTACTCATAGTCAAATCATGTTTTATACCGTATTAAATTTCCTCGGAATAAATATGTGTTTTTGAGTTTGCTTAAGTTTTCTTTGTACCTGTCACTAATTCATTACCAAAACTATGAAAGTGAGAAAAAGTGGAAGGGTTAGTCTCAGTCGTGTCTGACTGTTTGTGACCTCCATACCTCTGGAAGGTATATATACACACAAACATAGCTACAATCATACCAAATACATTTTAATGCTGTCTCCACTTTTTTTTTTTTGAGTTGTTTACTCTTCAAAAATTTTTTTTTAGAATTAATTTATCTTAATTTTGGCTGCGCTGGGTCTTCATTGCTGTGCATGGGCTTTCTCTAGTTGTGGTGAGTGCAGCTTCTCACTGCAGTGGCTCCTTTTGTCTCAGAGCACAGACTCTGGGTTCCTGGGCTTCAGTAGTTGTGGCACACAGGCTGCGTTGCCCTGCAGCTTGTGTTTTCACTTTTCTTTCTGGTTGCCATTTAATATAATGCAGCAGTGAACGTCTTTCTGCATAAATCTTTGCTTTCCTGTGTATTTTTTGCAGTGTTTCTTTAGGCTAGATTCCCAGAAGTATAATTACTAGGTGAGAAGGTAGTGAATATTTTAAGGGTCCGTCACTTTTAAAACTGTTGTTATGGAAGGACTCTGACACAGAGATATAGTTCTGGCCTGGGTTGTTAAAAACGGAGCTGG